AGCATAACAATAGCCGTGAAAACAATGCACCGAATAGACTAGCCTTTTTGAAATTTTATTCTCAACCGATTCCGTGCGTGGCAGAGATGCAAGGGATTAGCCGATATGGTCTGGGGGCCGGCTGGTCYCTCCCCTGATGCTTCGGCTAGAACATTTTCTTGCGTAATTCGTGCACCCAAGGGCAGAAGGATTTAATCGCCGTCAGGTCCGAAGTCCATACGACGCCTCAGCTCTGCGGATGTCTAGGGGGTATGGCAAAGTGGAGTCGTTTTTTTTTTTGTTTTTTGTTTTTAATTAATTTTGGTGAGTTCGAATCCCATCATATCAACATAAGATTTTTTTCTGTTTTTTAATCCATTTTTTATTAGATTTAAAACTTCAACAATAGTAAAAAAAGATTTATTCCTAGTCGGTTGCTTATAATTAAGCTTTTATTAGTTGGATCAGACGTTAGTCGTAAAAACAATATCGATCTGTGAAAAGTAGAGCTCTATATTCTTTCCTATCTTTCCTGACAAAGAATGATGACGAAAACATTTAGTGCACTTGGATCTTTATATCATATACCCACAAAAGACTAGTGGGTGGTGCCGTGAAGTATTCTGGGTACTATTGCGCAATTTCTGCATTTTCTGACAAAGAAAATAAACAGTTACCCCAGTAAATAATATAATAACAAAGGATAGTAAAAAGATAAGAATATTAATAGGTAATTCTGACTGAGAAAATTGGGGTATTTGATCTTGCTGCGTCATGCCGCAAGATCAAATTCACAAGTAGTCAGTGTGACATGCATAACGCAAAACTGTTTATTTTATAGCCCAAGGGCAGAACCTGCAATTATTCTAATATCAYGTAGAGAACATCTTAAGAGAGAAGATCGTCTTAGACGAGTTAAACGAAATCATTCTTATCTGTGAAACACTCAATTATCTTTTGCCTAACATTGCAAGCTTCTTCAGCTGTTCTAGGCCTCTGTGCATGACACACGCAACCCAGTGAACACCTATAGGGCGTCTTATTCATTGTATTTCAGCGGTTTTTGAGTAACAGACGGGCTCAAGGCCAACGTTCAAAACTAAAGTAACTATTTGACCGAATAACGAATAGAACGATTAGAAAAGATCATTTGCCAGCAACAAGTATCAAACAAGTATACACATAAAATATATTAGACCAGTGGTCTTGTTATGTACATGTGAATTGGAAAAATGACGCGGCAAATTATCGGCCTAATTTTACATGTTTCGGACAATTTGCACCAAAAACTCGCAAGTCATTTTAATTTTACATGTACTGCTTATATGTATTGTGACGGTATCATACGTCACACGAACAATAATCTAATATGAAGGTGATTCTGAAAAGTTATTATTTATTGTTTATTTTTTCAGGGAGGTGGGGGAATTACGTGGTTTTTTGGAAAACTTGACAGGTATTTGAAAGAGGTGGAATGGTATAAAGATGAGAAAGTAGTAACTAATAAGCTGGTTAAGTGAGACTAGATTCTGAGCATGCGTAGAATAGCTCTTTTTACAGCCGTTCTACTGACAAGCAATATGCGGATTTCCTTGTCCATGATGATGAATGATATCGTAATGATGCTGATGATGACTCTAGGCTAAGCTAGCTGATTTATCGATAAAGTATTCAAATTTGAAATCCAGCAATAAAGGCAGCGAACCTCTTCTATTCAATGCAGAACGTGAGCTGCTTCGTTCAAATATCCCTCGCTTTAAAAGAATCTTACAGCGTAGACTCAAAAGATGTGCGGCCATATTGAATAGTTGTCTTATTGTGTATAACTTTCAGTAAGACTTGGGGTGACATTCGTGCTGTCTGTATGGAATTCTCCGTCAAAGTGTACTCATTTAAACCAGCGTAGAATCTTCGGCTGAAAAGACCTGACGAGTATGACCGTCTTTTTCTCTTAATACGATGGCGTCTTCCTCTTATACACCTTGATAGAACACTCAGTGCTATCTTTCTGAAGCTTTGGTTCATGGTGATGAAAATATAAGGGTTGATAGCGCTATTAGCATGCGATATCCAGAACAACATCATCACTATCCATGGCGAAAGCTGACGGAATACCGGATGGTAGAAGAAGTTGATGAGGACGTGCATGATATGGACAGGAAGCCAACAAAGTGCGAAGACAACAAGAACTACAATAAGCATCTTTATAACACTTTTTCTGCTTCGTATGGCGGCTTGTCTGTTTAGCTCGGAGCGATTCCCAGGAACTCGACGACGCCATAGTTTTCTGATGATTATGATGTACATGACTGACATAAAGAGCAAAGGCACGACATAGAGTATTAGTGACACCAATGAGTAAAACACCTTTGGGGAATGGTATGGATGGAATTCCGGGTTCCATTCAATCTGGCACAAGAATGTGCCATCATCGAATTCATTCACACGGTAAACGACTAAAAACACGATCATAGACGCAAATGATACCAACCAAACTACAGCGGTAAGAAGCTTCTTGTTGTGAATGAACTTGATATACTTAAGCGGATAGACAACAGCGCAAAATCGTTCCAACGAGACAAGGAAAAGTGCGACTATAGAAGCAGCGATGGTAGTAGCGATTACAAAGTGGACCAGTTTACAAGCTATCGTCCCAACTACCCCTCCAAACCATCGGCTTTGCATAAAGAGGTAAAATATGGAGTATGTCATGGCGAAGATAGTAGTAATGAGGTCAGCCACTGCCATGTTTGCGATCAAAACATTCGTCGTAGTACGCATGTGCTGGTAATTGGAGACGGCGTAGATAACCAGTACGTTGCCTAGCAACGCTACTACGAAAGTGATGACGTAGATACTTGTCATGACGGCTTGAAGGTTTTGGAGAACGTTGAAGCCATTCCATTGGCTGGTGAGGTTGCTGCTTGCTGATTGATAAAAATTTAAAACAAAATTGATTAAGTTTATGAAATTTCCTTTCATTGCCGTCTTAGTCTTCCCTGAATGGTGCAGATATTGATTAGATTTAATCAGGGAATGATTTCAAGAAATTCTTATTACCTCACAATTTCTTTCGGTCGTGCAATTGGCAACCACCCATTTTTTTAAATAACTCAGTATTTCTTTAAACAGAAGACTTTTACACTGATTAAGAGGCAGAAGCCTCGAAACGCACGCGGACAATGTATTTTTTAGCGCTGTACATTCTAATTTATCTTAAATCTAAATCTTGAAACTGAGATGTGGTTGAAAAAAGATGCATGAAATGTTAAATATTCGTTATCTACACTTTTAATACATTATCACGGAACTACATAAGTGTTAGTTCTCTAAACCTCTTTTTGGGTTTGCAGACCAAAATGTGTTTTGGAATATTAAAAGCATTATCTCAAAGTGTAAAGACGAAAGTACTTCAAGCAATGGCACCGTAAGAACGCGAGGAGAGAAGAAAGCTTAATGTGTTTGCATAGATTTGTGTAAACAAAGTTGAAATGTGGAGAGTAGAGTACCGTCTTTGTTTATTTCAGCTATCCGGTTTTCTCTCGCTTCAAAAGTCCTGTATTTAAAAGAAACTAAAATTTATTTCTTCAGGGCATGAAAACAAAGAACGAAACGTTCGGTTGAAGTGTGCAGGATAAAGTACCGTCTTTGTTTACTTCGGGCTTTCCGGTTTTCTTCCGGTTTGTATCGTAGGAAGGGTGAATAGCGCTAATCAATGGATAAATCCTTATCCAGTGGATAAGTCGATGCTGTTATCCAAAAAATTTATCCACTGGATAAGATTTTTCATCGGATAGCGCTAGAAGAAGAAGAAGAAGAAGAAGAAGAAGAAGAAGAAGAAG